GTTTGTTCCAGCACTTCAAAAAATACCAGTGGAATTTTGATTGGGATGGCACTGAAAGTGAAGATTGTTCTGGGCAGTATAGATATTTTAACAATGTTTATTCTTCCGATCCATGAACATGGAATGCTTTTCCATCTTTCTGAGTCTTCTTCAATTTCTTTCATGAGTGTTCTGTAGTTCCTTGAGTACAGATCCTTTACCTCTTTGGTTAGGTTTATTCCCAGGTAACTTATGGTTCTTGGTGCTATAGTAAATGGAATCGACTCTCTAATTTCCCTTTCTATATTTTCATTGTTAGTGTATAAGAACGCAACTGATTTCTGTACATTGGTTTTGTATCTACTGAATTGCTGTATGAGTTCTAGTAGTTTGGGGGTGGAGTCTTTTGGGTTTGACTTCTTCTCTGCCAATTTGAATGCCTTTTATTTCTCTTTGTTGTCTGATTGCTGTTGCTAGGACTTCTAGTACTATGTTGGACAACAGTGGCGAGAGTGGGCATCCTTGTCGTGTTCCTGATCTCAACACTCCAGAAAACAGATAATCACATCAAAAAATGGGCAGAAGACATGAACAGACACTTCTCCAAAGAAGATGTACAAATGGCTAACAGACACATGAAAAAAATGTTCATCATTAGCCATCAGGGAAATTCAAATCAAAACCACATTGAGATACCAACTTATGCCAGTTAGAATGGCCAAAATTAACAAGACAAGAAACAAGTGTTGGAGAGGCTGTGGAGAAAGGGGAACACTCATACTGTTGGAGGGAAGAATGCAAGTTGGTGCAGACACTTTGGAAAACAGCGTGGAGATTCCTTAAGAAATTAAAAATAGAGCTTCCCTATGACCCTGCAATTGCACTACTGGGTATTTACCCCAAAGATACAGATGTAGTGAAAAGAAGGGCCATATGTACCTCAATGTTCATAGCAGCAATGGCCACAATTGCCCAACTGTGGAAAGAGCCAAGATGCCCTTCAACAGACAAATGGATAAAGAAGATGTGGTCCATATATATAATGGAATATTACACCTGCATCAGAAAGGATGAATACCCAATTTCGTATCAACATGGATGGGTCTGGAGGAGATTATGCTGAGTGAAATAAGTCAAGCAGAGAAAATCAATTATCATATTATTTCACTTACTTGTGGAGCATAAGGAATAACAGAGGATGTTAAGAGAAGGAAAGGAAAAGTGAATTGGGGGAAATCAGAGGGGGAGATGAAGCATGGGAGACTGTGGATTCTGAGAAACAAATTGAGGGTTTTGGAAGGGAAGGGGGGTGGAGGGATAGGTGAGCCTGGTGGTGGGTATTATGGAGGGCACTTATTGCTTGGAGCACAGGGTGTGGCGCATAAACAATGACTCTTGGAACACTGAAAAAAAATTAAAATAAAAAAGAAATGCAAATCAATACCATGATGAGATAAAACCTCACACCTGTCAGAATGGCTATAATTAACAACACAGGAAACAACGGATATTGGCAGGATGCAAAGAAAGGGGAGCCCTCATACACTGTTGGTGGGAATTCAAACTGGTGCAGCCACTCTAAAAACAGTATGGATGTTCCTCAAAAAATTAAAAACAGAACTAACCTATGATCCAGCAATTTATGACTAGGGATTTGGCCAAAGTATACAAATACATAATTCAAAGGGATATATGCACCCCGACGTTCATTATCTGTAATAGCCAAACTGTGGAAGCAGCCCAAGTATCCATTGACTGATGAATATATAAAGAAGAGGTGGTGTACATATATACAATGGAATATTACTCAGCCATCAAAAAAGATGAAATCTTGCCATTTGCAACAAAATAGACAGAGCTAGACAGTATTATGCTAAGCGAAACAAGTCAGAGAAAGATAAATACATAAATACCATATGATTTCACTCATATGTGGAATTTAAGAAACAAAACAGATGAACATGGGGAAGGGGGGTAAAAAGAGATAGGGAAGCAAACCATTAGAGACCCCTAACTATAGAGAACAAACTGAGGTTTGATGGAAGGAGTTGGGCAGGGAATGGGCTAAATGGGCTTTGGATATTAAGGAGGGCACTTGTTGTGATGAGCACTGAGTGCTATATTTAACTAATGAATCACTAAACTCTACATCTGACACCAATTTTACCATAAATATTAAATAACTAGGAATTAAAATAAAAACTTGAAATCAAAAAAGGGCATTTGAATATTATGTAATTTTAGACTCTGTTACATTAAATCTCCATATTAAAATTTATAAAGCAGGGGTGCCTGGGTGGCTCAGTGGGTTAAGCCTCTGCCTTCGGCTCAGGTCATGATCTCAGGGTCCTGGGATCAAGTCCCACATGGGGCTCTCTGCTGAGCAGGAAGCCTGCTTCCCTTCCTCTCTCTCTCTGCCTGCCTCTCTGCCTACTTGTGATCTCTGTCTGTCAAATAAATAAATAAATAAATAAATAAATAAATAAATAAATATTTTTTAAAAATTTATAAAGCAATGGCTAAAAGAATAGAAAATGTGTATACTTCACAACAAAAATGAAAGAAGAATTAAAAGATATCTAAAATATTAATCAAATAATAGAGCAAAAGCATTTTTAGAGAAATATAAAAAGAGTAGGAATTCAAAATAGGTAGAAACAAGACTGAGTATAGTAATAATCAATATAAACACAATGGCTTAAACTCACCAGTTAAAAGACAGATTGTAAATTGTATTTTTTTAATCTTACTATATGTAAATTAATAGATATATTTAAATCAAAAAGATACAGAAAGGTAGAAAAGATATAAAATGATATAGCAGGACAATACCAACCAACCAAAAAAAAAAAAAAAAGGATTGGCATATTAATATCTGAAAAATGGGCTATAAAACCAAAATATTAACTATATGAGAGAAAGTAATGATATATAGTAATAGCTTTGATTTATTAGGAATGCACAAAGCACCTACATTTATAAATGTACCTGAACTTACACATACTTAATAAAATAGTCTAAAAAACATTTTTAAAAAACAAAAAGTAATAAATGTATAGATTACATTTATTAATACAGAATTACTGTAATACAAATTACTGTAATACAAACTAATAAATACAGAATAAATACAGAAGAATATTTCAATCTCTAAATGATTCATATTAAGCAAAAAAAATAGTAAGGATACCAAAGACTTGAACTACACAATTAAAGTTTGATATACATAGAAACTTCTATCCTAAAATTACAGCATGTACATTCTTTCAAACACATGAGGAGTTATAAAAATTGACTTTATACTGGTCCAAGAAGCAAGTCTCAATTCTCATCAAAGAATCAGTATCACATAGATCACATTCTCTGACCACAAAACAATTAAACTAGGACTCAAAGATTTTCTTTTAATATGGAAAGTTATCCTCCAAAATTTACCCAACCAAATTCTAAACTTAGGAATGAAAGGTTTAATCATGTGGAAATTTATAAAAATTATTTAGAATTAAAATAATGAAAATGGCCCTTTTCAAAGATGGTTAGTGGAAAATACACAGGAATATATGCATAAATTACTAGAAATAGTAAGAGAATATAACAAGAGAACATGCCATTAGATAAATTTATGATACAAGTTTATTATAACAACTGCATTTCCATCATTACTAATAGACAGAAAATATGATTTTCTGAAAGTACATCAATTAAAAATATAATAGAAAAACATAAAGCACTTTAAGAATAAAATTTTTAATAAGATATGTACAAGATATGTATGTAGATAAAACTCTTGAAATTCATCAAATGGAAACCAAAATAAGTAAAAAGATACACCATATCCATGGCTATGAATAATTATTATCAGAAAAATATTAATTCTTCCCAACTGATACAGGAGTCAAAGTAATTCCAAATAAATCCCAACAGAGTTTTTCATAGAACTTAACAAATTAAAAACTTAACAGATTTTAAAATTTATTTTAAATAATACCTAAGTGTTCCTGATAAAGAAAAACATGGCTGGCCTACCCTATCAGACATCACAAATTATGAGAAAGTCATAATTATTAAGGCATTGTGGTATTGGTCTATAATAAATAAACCAATGGAGCAGTATAGAGAGTCCAAAAACATGTACAGATCGAAGAACTTTCACAGATGACGGAAGTGGTGTTGCAGTCACTGGAGAAAAAAGGAACCATTAGATAAATGATATTTGGATGTTTAGCTTACTATAATTTAAAAAAATGAAACTGGATCCCTACTTCACGTCATTCACAAACATCAAGTCTAAATGATATAAATATTTAAATATGAAATCAAACCTTTAAAGACTCTAGAAATGAAGAAATATCTTTCTGATCTTGAATCATAAAGTTAATTTCAACTAGGCACAAAACCCAATTAATCAGAAATAAAGATGATAATTTAAGCATTAAATTGAATTATACACAAGTTAAGAGCTCTTATTGATCAAAATACACCATAAAGAGAAGATGGTACCATGAACTGGAAGAATGTATTTTCAACATATGTAATTGACAAAAGAGTAATAACTAGAGCTTTATAGAAGTCCTACAAAGTAATTTTTTTAAATTCACGAAATGTTCATAAAACACGAAAGAGAATTTCCCTGAAGAAACACTATTAGCAGAATAGTGGGAGAAGGAAGCAGAAGGAAGAGGATGAAGAGGAAAAAGGAGAAAAAATTATGCTAATCATCACTGCTAATAAAGATTTAAAAATTAAGAGCATAACAAGAAATTTGACACAATCAGCAAAAGAGAAAAATGTCTGACAATACTCAATGTGGGAAATGCTTATAAACTGCTGGAAGATATACAAAAGTGAACATTTGCATCCTCTATTACCCAGCAATTCCACTCCTAATTATATACTCTAGAGTTATATACCAAGAGGTACAGTTGCAGGTACACACCAACATGTATACACACTAACACATACATGTGTATTTGGGGAGCCTTGGAGCCTTAGAACAGAGCGGACAGATCCCCATCACTTACGGTAAGAAGCAGTGTGCCGCTGTCAATACCCACTGAGGGGCAATCAAAGTCCCCACACAGGACTGATAATTGGAATTCAGGTAAAATAGGTAGTGAAGATGATTTAACCCTTCCATGTCTTCACCAACATATGAAACAACACCTGGAACAAAGAGAGAAGAGAATCAAGGGAAATAACCTAGCTGACAAAAGAGAACTCAGGGTGCTTATGGAGATTTTGGGATGCCAGTATCAGAGAATATCAATATTTGCCACTCATTAATCACTTAACTAACTGATACCCTAACTCTATGGTACTAGAGAACCATACTGTACAAACACTGTACTAAAATACTTGGTGTACTTATTTAGATTTTTTATTCTTCACAGAAAAAAAAACTATGGGATGGATAAATTTTATATTATTTTACAGATTATGAATTTATTAGAGAGACTGTGTTTCCCACATTGTATATTCTAGTCTCCCTTGTCATAGATTAATGGACCATATAACTGTGGGTTTATCTGTGGGTCCTCTACTCTGTTCCATTGATGTATGTGTATGTTTTTGTGCCAGTAATGCACTGTTTTGATTACTACAGCTTTATAGTACATCTTGAAACCCAGAACCCAGAAACCTGGAACTGTGAGGCTTTGTTTTTCAGTTTTTCAGTTTTGTTTTTCTTTCTCAAGAGAGACAATACAATGGATATTATGCAGCCATAATAAAGGATGTTATAGTGCCATTTGCAACAATATGGATGGACCTAGAGGATATTATACTAAGTGAAATAAAGTTAGACTGAAAAAGACAAATACTATATGCTCTCGGTCATATATAAAATATTTTTAAAAAGGAGTAAATAAACAAAAAGCAGAAACAGACCTAAAAATACGGAGAACAACCTAATGGTTACCAGAGGGCAGGGCGATGAAGGGATGGGAAAATGAATGAAGTGGAGTGGGAGATACAGTCTTCCAGTCATGGAATGAGTAAGTCATGGGAATAAGAGGCATGGCATAGGAAATACAGTCAGTAATATTCTAATAGCGTTGTATGGTGACAGATAGTAGCTACATTTACAGTGAACATAGTATAATATATAAACTTAACAAGTTACTACATTGTACACCTGATATTAATGTAACATTGTGTGTCAACTCTACTGAAATTCTTTTTGTTTATAGTTTTAATATTTATTTTTTTATTTTTGACACCTATCTTATGGCTTTTATTTTTTTTATTATGTTATGTTAGTCACCATACAGTACATCATTAGTTTTTGATGTAGTGTTCCATAATTCACTGTTTGCATATAACACCCAATGCTCCATGCAATACATGCCCTCCTCAATACCCATCACCAGGCTAAACTATGCCCCTGCCCCCTCCCCTCTAAAATCCTCAGTTTGTTTCCCAGAGTCCATAGTCTTATGGTTCGTCTCCTCCTTTGATTCCCCCACTTCATTTATCCCTTCCTTCTCCTAATGTCCTCCATGCTATTCCTGATGCTCCACAAGTGAAACCATATGATAATTGACTTTCTCTGCTTGACTTATTTCACTTAGAAAAATCTCCTCCAGTCCCATCCATGTTGATGCAAAAGTTGGGTATTCCTCCTTTCTGATGACTGAGTAATATTCCATCTTGTATAAATATACCACCTCTTCTTTATCCACTGATCAGTCAATGGACACTGGGCTGCTTCCATAGTTTGGCTACTGCAGATAATGCTGCTGTAAACATGGGGGTGCATGTATCCCTTCAGATTAGTATATTTGTATTCTTTGGGTAAATACCTAGTAGTACAATTGCTGGATTGTAGAGTAGTTCTGTTTTTAACTTCTTGAGGAAACTCCATACTGTTTTTTACAGTGGCTGCACCAGTTTTCATTTCCAGAGACAGTGCAAGAGGGCTCCTTTTGCTCCACATCCTCTCTAACACTTGTTGTTTCTGATTTTGGCCATTCTGACAGGTATGAGGTGATGTTATATTGTAGTTTTGATTTGCACTTCCCTGATAAGTGATGTTGAACATGTTTTCATAAGTCTATTGGCCATCTGTATGTCTTCTTTGGAAAAATTTCTGTTCATGTCTTCTGCCCATATTTTATTTTTTAAAAAGCTATATATATTTATTGTGAAAATTTATAAAAGACATGAAATAAAAATAATCAGTAAAAAAAAATCATCAGTAATTCCCAAACCAAAAGGTAATCATTAATAATGTTTTGGAATATTTTCTTTCAGTATTTTTTCTGTAGGGATGGCTGGTTTCAAGGGCGTGGGACCTGTGTACTCACACAGAACTCGTGTTCAGAAGGGCCCTACATTTGGTTTAAGGCTCTACTACTGCTATCTTGGAATTAAAATTTTTGAACAAGAGAGCTTGCATTTTCATTTTATACTAGGCTCTGCAAATTATGTAGTCAGTTCTGTCTACAGACATTCATGGACACAAATATACAGATTATATATAAATATATATTTATAACCTATGTCATTAAAATTCCAAAATTCCTTGTAAATGTTCTTTTTAATACTTGCATAATATTTCATCATATGGAAACAGTCATGTACTTAGTTATGTTTTTATTTTGGTACCTAGTTTGATAATGTTTTATATTGTTATGATGAGGAACGTGTTTTCATATTATTTTTTAAATGTAGTTCTAATTATTTCCTTAAATAACATCTGAGAAGTAAAATTAAAGGGAGGAAGGGATTTGAACATTTTGGGAGTTTGCATTTATGTTGCCAAATAGCTTTTCAGAAAGATCACTATTACAAGCAGAGTGTAAGAAACTTTCTCTTCATACCCGTGGCATCAGAGAATATTATGATTAAAAAGTATTTGGTAATTGAATAAGTTAAAATATTATCCACTTAATTTCCATTTCTTTGACTACTAGTAAAGGAAGTCTTTAAAAATTATATTAGCCATTTTTATTTCTTCGTGGAATTGCCCAAGAATGCAAACTTCTCTGTATGTTTTTTAAGGCTCTTTGAGTCCTACTACTCTAGCTTTATCTTCCCCATATTTTAATTGGATTATTCCTTTTCTGCGTGTTGAGTTTTATAAGTTCTCTATATATTTTGGATACTAACCCTTTATCAGGTATGTCATCTGCAAATATATTCTCCCATTCCATAGGTTGCCTTTTAGTTTTGTCGATTGTTTCCTTTGCTGTGTAGAAGCCTTTTATTTTGATGTAGTCCCAATTGTTTTTTTTTTCCTTTTTGTTTCCCTTGCCTCAGGTATAGTTGCTACAGCTGATGTCAAAGATGTTACTGCCTGTGTTCTCCTCTAGGATTTTTATGGCTTCAGGTCTCACATTTATGCCTTAAGTCCATTTTGAATTTATTCTTGTGCATGGTGTAAGGAAGTGGTCCAGTTTCATTCTTCTGCATGTGGTTGTCCAATTTTCCCAACACCATTTGTTAAAGAGACTGTCTTTTTCCCATTAGACATTCTTTCCTGCTTTGTCAAAATTTAACCCACCATATACTGTGAGTTCATTTCTGGGCTGCTATTCTGTTCTATTGATCTATGTCGATTTTTGTGCTGGTACCATGCTGTTTTGGTTACTATAGCTTTGTAATATAACTCAAAGTCTGGAATTGTGATGTCTCCAGCTTTGCCTCCTGGCCCCTTCACTCCAAGGCTGCTTTGGCTATTCAGGGTCTTTTCTGATTCCATACAAATTTTATAATTCTTTCATCTAGTTCTGTGAAAAATGTTGGAAATTGGATAGGAATTGCATTAAACATGTAGATAGCTTTGGGCAATACAGACATTTTGACAATATTTGTTCTTCCAAACCCTGAACATGGAATATCTTTCCATTTCTTCATGTCCTCTTCAATTTCTGTCATAAGTGTTCCGTAGTTTTCAGAGTACAGGTCTTTCACTTCTTGGTTAGTGTTATCTTAGGTATCTTATGGTTTTTGGTGAAATTGTAAATGGGATCAATTCCTTGATTTCTCTTTCTGCTGCTTTATTATTGGTGTATAGAAATGCAACAGGTTTCTGTATGGTGATTTATAGCCTGTGATTTTGCTAAATTAATGTATCAGTTCTAGCAATTTTCTGGTGAGTCTTTCAGGTTTTCTACATAGAGCATCATGTCATCTGCAAATAGTAAAAGTCTGACTTCTTCCTGGCCAATCTGGATGCCCTTTGTTTCTTTTTGTTGTCTGACTGCTATAATTAGGACTTCCAATAGTATGTGAATTAACAGTGATGAGAGTGGACATCACTGTCTTGCTCCCAACTATAGAAGAAAAGCTCTCAGTTTTCCCCCAACTGAGGATGATATTAGCTGTGGGTTTTTCATATATGACCTTTTGATGCTGAGGAATGTTCCCTCCAACCATACTTTGTCGAGATTTTTACCACGAATGGATGTTGTACTTTGTCAAATGCTTTTTCTGCATCTACTGAAAGGATCATATGATTTGCAGATATTGAACCCACCCTTGCAGCTCAGGAATAAATCTCACTTGATTGTCATGAATGATTATTTTAACAGATTCAATTTGCTAGTATTTTATTGAGAATTTTTACATCCATGTTCATCAGGGATACTGGCCTATTGTTCTCTTTTTCAGTATTGTTTTCATCTAGTTTTGGTATCAGGGTGATGATAGCCTCATCTAATGAGTTTGGAAGTTTTCCTTCCATTTCTGGATTTTGGAATAGTTTGAGAAGAATAGGTATTAACTCTTCTTTAAATGTTTGGTAGGATTTGGCTTTCATGAAGCCATTTGTCCCTGGACTTCTGTTTTTTGGGAGTTTTTTTTTTTTTATTACTGATTCAATTTCATTGCTAGTTATCAGTCTGTTCAAGTTTTCTATTTTTTTTTTTGTTTCAGTTTTGGTAGTTTATATGTTTCTAGGAATTTATCCATTTTTTTCTAGGTTATCTAATTTGTTCACATAATAGTTTTTCAAATTTTTTTATAATTATTGGTATTTCTGTACTATTAGCTGTTATTTCTCCTTTCTCATTAGTGATTTTATTGATTTGGGTCCTTTCTCTTTTCTTCTTGATAAGTCTGGCTAGAGGTTAATCAATTTTACTAATTTTTTCAAAGAACCAGCTCCTGGTTTCATTGATCTGTTTTATTATTTGTTTGTTTTTTAGTTTCTATATAATTTA